GTTAATTCGTGATTACACCTGAGTATTCAGATTGCCAGGAGACCCTCATCAGCTGCTGCAGGAGTAGGGGGCGTGGTCCAGGGAACCATGCCAGCCACCAGGGAGGACAAGGTGGACAACAAGGAGCCTGGGGGTGAGTGGTGGGCAGAAGGGATGGCCCCAGGCAGTAGTGCCTTGACAGAGATGGCTTGGAGGCCGCAGGACAATGAGGCCTTCCCCAGTCACTGGGTCATTTTGGAATTCAGTTCAGTTCAGCTCAATTCTATTTATTTATTTATTATTTTATTTATTTATTTATTTATTTATTTATTTATTTATTATTTTATTTATTTATTCACGAGAGACAACACACACACACACACAGAGGCAGAGGGAGAAGCAGGCTCCATGCAGGGAGCCCGACATGGGACTTGATCCCAGGACTCCAGGATCATGCCCTGGGCCAAAGGCAGGTGCCAAATCGCTGAGCCACCCAGGGATCCCTCAATTCTATTTAATAAACATTTTTAAGCATCAGCGTATGCTGGACCAAATGAGGGATTTAGTGCAGAAGCTCCCAAGGAGCTCACAGCTGAGTTAGAAAAAGAGACTTAGATGCACACTTACTCCCATCAGCACTGCCAAGCACAACGACAGCTGCCAGCCCTGAGACCTCACGCGCTGCACACCTTAGGATAGCCTGGGGAGGTGCGCATTCGTATCTTCAGCTTCAAGAGAGGGCACTGGGGGGCTGGGAGGTTAAGCAGGCCGCCTAAGGTAACCCAGCTGAACAGAAGGGTGGTCAGCATCTAGGTCTGACGGTAAAGTCACGTATTGTCTCTGCTATCACCTACGGTAATAAAGGCAGAGACACATTGTGTGTGCTAGGGAAGGGCCCTGATTCTTATTCACCTCTAAAATGGGGATAATGACATCTAGTTTCCTGAGAGACAAGGGATAGATAATGAATGTGACAGGTCTACACCAGTTTCTCCTCTTGCTGTGGAGGCCCAGAAACAGGTAATAACAGGAGCTGCTCTGGAAGGGTAGAAGCCAAGCTCTCTGCAGCAGGCAGTGCAGGAAGGGAGAACAGAATGTGCAAAAGGCCGGAGGTGTGAGCATGCAACAGGTCCAGCATGAAAACTGAGAAAGCAAGAGATTCCGGCAGAGGGGAGAGCCCAAAGCTCGTTCCTCTCTTTCTTCCCTTGGCAACCCTGGAAAAGCTGCTGAAAGCTCCTTTCCGGTTCCTCCTCAACCCACATAATCTGACCTCTGCACACATTACCCACTGGAAACACTCTTGCCAAGGGCCTCAACGCCAGCTTTTTGCCAGCCCACTGGCCATTCTTAGATCTTACCTTCCCTCCTCCACAACCTGATGTGTTCCTTACCTTCTCTTTGAAATACCACTTCTCGGCTGGTCTACTTCTCTGTGTGCTAGGCTCTCCCCTTGTCTCCTTTGCTGGCTCCTTCCCCTGTGCCACCCCTGAATGTTGCTGTGGCCAGTCATGGGCCTACTCCTTGTCAATGCATTCTCATTGGGAGACTCATTTGTTCCCAAGGCTTACCCACCACCTCCATGTGGGATGGTCCAAGACCTGATCTCTTGCCCAGCACCCACCCTGAGCACTGGACTCATATAACTCCCCACTGGGCATCTAGACCTGCATGTACTCCAGGAAGTTTGACTCAAAATGATCCCAGAGGGGTTCCCTGCATTCCCCAATAGCTGCTGCTCTTTCTGGGTTCTCTCTTCTTCACTAATGCAAGTCAGATCCTAGAGTTCGTCCCTAACATTCCCTCACTAACATCTGGGTGTCATCTCCTAGCAATGTGTCTCACATTCTTCTGGCTCATCCCTCCCTACAACAACTCCACTGCTGCAGAAAACATCTTCATCATAGCTCCTGGGGTTCCACAACCTGTCCCATTGCATTCCTACCCGGCTGCCAGAGAGATCTCTGTGAAATGCAAATCTGCCCAGGGCACCCCCTGTCCAAAAGCCTTATCCCCATTGTGTCAGGGATAAGGCCCACACTTCACAGCATGCCAGTCAATGTTCCAGCCTCTTTACCACACATTCCCACTGTCCTTGGGTCTCCGGCCAGACTGAAACCATGGAGCAGATAGATTAGGTCCCAATCTTTCTAGTCTGTAGGCCTCAGCTTGAGGCTTCCTTCCTCCAGGTAGCCTTCCTGCTGCCTTAGGATGAATTAGGGCCCCTCTTCTGTGCCCCCATAGTAGCTGTGCACAACAGAGAGCTATGGTCTCTTTCTACAACACATTCATGCTTTCTCTTCTTGCTCCCTACCTGAGGCCATGGAGTCTTTGAAGCCAGGGCCTGTCCTTGTGCTATATTTTTCTATGGTGCTGAAAAGTATTTGCTAAAATCAAAGGATTTGGGAAGGGTCTTGGAAACAGACCCTGGGGGTGCTTATAGGAAATGGGTTACTCTTTGTGCAGACACCTAGAACTGAATACACAGTATCCTTTCTCCCCTTTTCCCTAACAGAAACTCAATTTTGTTCAGGAGAAAGCAAAGGCATAAATTACACTTCAGGGTCTCTTTTGCAGAGGGTATAGCCATGTGGCCTCGTCTTAGTCAACAAGACTTAAGGAAAAGTAGCTAAGCATGCAGGGAGAGATTTGTTTCCCTGATGTGAGCACAACCCTTTCCTGTTTCCTGTCTTCCACTTGGAATTAAGAGAAGAGGCTAGAGGTGGAGCAGCTATCTCGTGACAATGAGCAAGCCACACACTAAGGAATCTTTAGGGGTCTAGGTCATGACCCCTAATTATATTCTAGCAGGCTTCTTTTTTAAAAAAAAATATTTTATTTATTCATTTGACAGAGAGAGAGAACAAGCAGGGGAAGTGGCTGGCAGAGGGAGAGGGAGAAGAAGCCTCCCAAAGAGCAGGGAGCCTGACGCGGGTCCTGAGTTCATGACCTGAGCTGAAGGCAGCCACTTAACTGACTGAACCACCCAGGTGCCCACCTAGCAAGCTTTTTATTATGAGACAAAGAAATCTCACTGAAGCCACTTTGCTTAGGTCTCCACTACATTTAGCTAACCCCACCTCATAAGAGCAGATAAAAGCAGATAACCATTGGTGAGCATTTCTGACTAGGCCTTTCCTTTGGAGATGATGCTGGTCCTGAGGTAGGCAGAGGGCAAGGTTAATGGAATGAGATGAAATGAGGATTGGAGAAACTGACTTTCCCTGGATTTTTATCAGAGGACCATGACAAGGCCTTGCTCAGGGTTTGAGGAAGACGCTGCAGACATCACAGCCTCAGTGTGCCCATGACCTGGGCCTTCTCTGCTCTCGGTGAAATGAGATGCTCTGATTGAAATGTTATCTTCTTTCTCTGCTCCTCATGAAATGAGGCTGCTGGAATAGATAACTTTTCAAAGGGGATAGTGCTCCAAGTCTGGGCTTTGGAGTCAGGCAGAGCTGGGTTTGGTTCTAGCTCTATCACTTACTGGTTGTGTGTCTTTTGGTCATTTTATTTATTTTTTTTAGTTGACCTCTCTAGCATCATCATCTATAAAAATCCAGATTGTAATAGTACCTATAACTGTTGGGCTAATGCTGGGGTTCTATGGAATCATGCATTTGAGTACCCAGCAGAATGCCTGGACAATACACCATGGGTACTACTGCAGCGTGTGTTGAATGCTCTGGGTGGCAGCCGTCCTTGTGTTCCAAGTTCTCTGCAAGGGGAGCCCGGTGACCCGGAGCTTCCTGCCTATTCTAGGTCTGGGGCTGCTGCAGGGCTCTGGAAAGCAAGATGCCCTTTACTCTGTGGATGAGTGAGGTGGCCCACTGCCCGACGGCTTTTCTTCCCGCACCGTGTGCTGTTGTATCCGGAATTCTTGGACTGCAGGTGGATAGGGGAAGCCCGCAGACAGAGGACAGCCCAGCCCAGACCCAGAAAGGCATTGTCCTGTGGGTCCTTGTCTTACCCAAAGTTTCCTGGGTCTTGAAGGTGGCCCTGTGCTTCTCCTAGCAGTCGAGTGGGCTTGCACGGGGGACTACAGGAATCACGGAGCTGGAAAAATACCTCCAGAACTGGATTCCTCACCGCAGCTGCTTTTGGCATAACTTCTCTTAGCCTTCACCTTCTTTCTCTTCTGTGCAGTAGGAATCCTAGTGGAAAAAAATCTTGGGGAAGAAAAAAAAAAAAAAAGCCCATGTTCTATTCCAGCCTGAGAAGGAGGTCAGTGGGGTGCGTCCCTAACGTCCACGGGGGGCCCTCTCTCTTGGCTGCTGTCGCTCAGGCCAGACCCAGCCATGCTGACACTTGACAGCGCCTGCAGTTTACCTTGGCTCGGCTCCAGGGAGTTCGGGCCCTGCCCGGGGCGGCCCCCTCTGCAGCGCAAAGAGCAGTTTAAATATAAATCAGTCCTCGACACAAACAGCCTCGGCGGCGAGGCGAGTCGAGTCCCGGAGCCATCCCCGGAACTGGGAGCCCCGGTTTTCGGCGAGTGCAAACAAGCAGAGACCCGCTCGGTCCATCTCCCCAGGGCGTCGGGAGGGCGGGGGCCCCGCTCCTGAAGCTCCCGGAGGCCCCGCGCCCCGTCTGGCCCCCGGGCTCCCGCTCGCCGCTGCAGCGCCTCTCGGTTCTCCGCCCGCCCGTCGGTCCCCGCTGCACCCCTCGGGCTCCCCCGACGCCCCACGCCCCAGCGCTGCCTCCCCTCCCCGGGGCCCGGCGCCCAGCAGGCGGGACCTCCCCGGGGCGCCCGAGCCCGCGGGTCCCAGCCGCGCTCCGGCAGCTCCGGCGGCCCCGGGGCGCGCGGCGAGGTCACGCGCGGGCGCCCGGCGCGTCACACCTGTCGGGGGGGCGGCCGCGGCGGGGGCGGGGGCGGGGGCTCGCGGCGCCTGCGACCGCCGAGGGCAGGGGGGAGGAGGGAGAGCGCGTTTCATCATCGGCGACCGCGCCGCGGCCACTTATAAAAGTTCTGGGCGCGCACCCGCTCGCGCAGTCTCCGCGCCGCGCTCCCGCCCGCCGCCCGCCGCCCGCCGCCCGCCGCCACCATGGGGCTCTGGCCCGAGCCCGACGCGCGCCGCGGCAGCGACGCCCCTCCCGGCCGGCCCCGCCGCTGTCCCCGCTCCGTCTTCAGCAACATTAAGGTGAGCGCGGAACATTAAGGTGACCCGTCGGGGCCCGAGCGGCGGGGGCGCACCTGGGGCGGGGGGGGGGCGCCTCCGCGGGTCCTGGCGGGGCGAGGGGCGCCGGGGCAGCGCGTCCGTGCCGCGCGTCCGTGCGCGTGTGTGCGCGTGTGTGGACCTCCGCGCGCTCTCACGCCTGCAGGGGGTAGCAAACGGGACGCTGGCGGCCCCGACGGTGCCCTCGGAGGGCGAGCGCCCAGCCCTTTACAAGGAACGTCGTGGAGGGGCGCCTCTCCGTGCGCGGGCAGCTCACTTGGAGGAGGGATGAGCTGGGGGGGGCGGGGGGATGACGGGCTGTGGTTCCTTGGAGACGATCAGAGCCGAAGGCATGGGGCGGGGGGGGGGGGGGGGGGGTCGGAAGGGATGTTCTCCTTCCCCTAAAGCAGCTGTGCCCGGCTCTGCTGCCCCGCTGCTGCTGCGCTGCTGCCCGCGAAGTTCAGAATCCCCCCGCCCCCCGCCCCCCACCCCTGCCCCCCACCCCTGCGTGCTTCCTGGTCTGGAAACGGCCCCAGGAAAGCAGCAGGCCCTCACGGTATGTTCAGGAACATCGAAGCAGGTGCCTCTCTCCTGGCAAGTTATGGGAAGTGGGTGAACAGAAGATGGGGGTGTAGCTGGCCTTAGGGTGAGGACACTTTCTTCCCGAGGGCAGACAGAGCTGCTGTGCTGAGGACTGCAGAGCCCCCAGGGAGGCTCCTCGAGGGTAGTGGAGGCGGGAGTGGGGGGAGCAAGGCGCAGAGAGGTTGTTTCCAACAATCCTACAGTTAGATGGGGCTAGGTAAAGCCTCCGGCGCTGCAATTAAAGGGAAAATAGGGGAAGGGTGTCGCTGTGGACTGATTAGGTGTTCAACAGGAAAGTTGAACCGTGTTCAACAGAAAGCCCACCTAGCCTTATTGGTATTCTTAGCAGGGGAGCTGGGATCCCCACTCCTGCTTCTGCTCCATCCCCACAGCACGATAAATAGAGGCTGAGTTGATTCCATGCTTGGGTGTAAATAAGACACAGAAATTTTGAGACAGTTTCAGATAATTCTCAAATTGCCTCACCTTTGGCCAGACCTGGATGAGAACACTGTGTGCGGTTGGTTTTGCTCCCACCATTCAAAAGAGTCTTGGAGAAGTTTCAGCAGAGAACTATAGAAAATTTGGTGTTTATAAATTAGGGATTGGGAGGAAAGGGTGGGAGCAACTGCTGGGTGGTCCGGAAAGAAGGAGGCCCAGGAGAGAGTCAGGGTGGGGGCAGCTCTCCCTATTTTACCAACAAGGGCAAGAAGGGTAGCTTGTCCCAGAACAGTTTCCTGACAGTGAAGGTTCCCCTCCCCCTCCCTCCCCAGCAAGATTGATCCATTTAGACCTGCTCTGAGTCCCTAAAATTAGTTTATGGTAGCAGTTTCTTTGAAGAGCTGTAGAAATGAGATAATTGTTCACATGTTGATGATTTTACCGCATGTGCCTGAGGCCTGGACCCAGGCCAATTGGCCTCTTAAAGGTTCACACCATTTAAGAGTTTTTCTTAACTCTAAAAATCAGATTCTCTTAATTATTACCTCCACTGACCCATAGCAACTCTGAAACCAGAGTGTAGAGAGACTCCCACTTAGCGGCACTTAACCTGAAACCAGGTACAATTTGAATATCTCAAGGCAAATCTGGGACCTAGAATTCCCTTAGTTAAGCTCACGTAACGCTTTTTTTTACAGGGGGTTGTCGGGGGATTGCAGTTTGTCGGGAGATTCCCTCCTTCTAGTGAGAGGCTGGGTGACTCCTCTGCCCTCTCCCACTGGGTGATGGACTGCATGTGTCTTATGACATGGGTGACATGGGTGCAAACAGGGAACACCCAGCCTAAGGACCCATCATTTTCATGGGTTCCTCACTGCTGGAGCAGACTAACCAATTGGGTTTATGACTTTCCTGCAAAACCCCACATACCATATGGTTTAGGGGAAGGGGATGAGGCCAGGAGACATCCAAGTCTAAGTCTAACCTCTTACTAACTAGGTGACACATGGGAAATTTCTCACCTTCCCTGGCAGCAGAGTCCTTATGTTAAAACAACAAACAAAAATGGGTACTATGAATGATCCCCACGTCATGGAGCTCCTTAAGGATTATGTGGGAGGAGACATAGTAAAAGGGTTTTGTAAACCATGCAGGACTCTCCAGGATTGGCATCAAGAAGATGTCAGTTCTTTCCTCAACAAACAGGACTGCACATTTAAACACCATTTAGGACCTGCTGGTCTACCAATTATGCCTTACAGGAGGCATAGTTAATAGCTAAGAGAAACTATAGTTAGCAATAACGTCCAAAGGAAAAGTAATAGTAGCTAACACTAATGGAGCTCTCTGGATGGACCAAGAACTTTGGACATATTTCACCCATATTTAATCCTCACTACAACTCTGTCTAGTGGATACTATTACTATCCTATTAATGATGAGGAAAACAAGGCTTAGTGAGGTGTGGACACATAGCCAGAAAGGGGTGGAATGTCTAACTGGGTGTGTGAAACCCCAGGGTCAGAGTCTGACCGCCGTGCACCCTGCCCTCACCATCACACAGTACTGCTCAATTTTGGTTTGGCACTTGGGGATCCAGTAGGTATGCTTGTTCCGAGGGGTCAGTGCTTTCTTCAGGCCCTCCTGACACACACATCCCAGCCAGGAGCAGGGGTCACTGTCACAGCTACAGGGTGGATGTTCCCAGTCAATAACAGGGTCACCACACCTTTTCACTCCACAACTCTCCCCTAAAGAGCCTGGTGACTCTTATTTATGGGATGAGGTTTTTGTACTCTCTCCTGTAGGAGTAAATGCAATTGTATTTATTCTGGAGATGTCTCTACTGCTTCTGGCTTACAGGATTCTTAAGAAGCAGAAGACCTGCTCACTAGTCATTGTCAGAGAGAACACTTCAACATCCAGGACTCTAAATTAGGAACAGTTCATTCAGCGATTGTGGGGGTGGGGAGGCAGGAGAGAGCCTTTGTGGCCAACTCATCCTGGCAGCCTCAAAGAGATCTGTTTCTTTTTAAAATGAAATTTGGGGGGGGGGCAAACATAGATTATCTTATAAAAGGAGTAGACCATTGGTAATTGCTGTCCAAATTTCAGAAACTCCCACACCTCAGGCCCCAGCATAGAGAAATAGTATATATCTATCTAGTCAGTGAGGGAGAGTCCAGTGGGGATGGTGGGCAGGGGACGCACGGTGAGAAGAAAGGGAGAGACAGATCTCACAGCTTGGCCTGAGTGGCCCAGTGACCTCTGACCTGGGAGGGAAGCCCCAAAATGAGGGAGAGATACTTTATCCTAGCCTGTGTCCGTAACTTCCTAAGGCCTCTGACACCTAACTTTGGGGAGACATCTTGGGCTTAACGTCTTGGTTTTCAGAGGGGAGTACTATATCCCACCAATCTGACTGTTCATGCCTCTCAAGAGAATACCCGGGAACAAAGAATTCCTTAACTGACCTCATGGATTACGAGGTGTCCACTTCTCCTGCCCTGGGTTAATGGGTATTAACTGATATTCAGGACAGCATTATCCATCCTCTGAGAGATCCTGGCTTGCCCTGCTTATATGTGGGGGTGGGGGGAACTGGTTGGGTAGGGGTCACAGGTCACATCTTTCCTCCTATAATGATACTCAAAGCCCTTCTCCTGGTGATGAATTGTGACCTACAGAACAAAGAGAAGAGTGATTTATGTCTCACAAAATGGATAGCTCGTCTTACCTCCTTCTGATCATTCTCCTGTGTCTGTAATAGTGACTTTTTTCCCATTCAAGTAGACCCAGATATGATGTTGAGATGTTGGGTTGGGAGCATGGCTTCCCCACATCCTCTTTTGCTCTGTTTGTGGAATGAAGAGGAGTGTGGGTGGTCCTCTGTGCAGACCTCGTCCCTCCTTGTTCTCCCTCTTCACACCTCTGCTTGGTTTTATCCCATCCCATGGGTTTACCCACTTCTAGCCCTTGCTTCACCCTGCTTTCTGCTTGTGGCGGTGCTGGCCTGAGAAGAGCTCCATTTATGTGCCAAAGCCAGAAAGCTGTGCATGGTGAAGCTAAGAAGCTTGGGATGCTCCAGGCTGTGGACCCATCAGAGGACCTTGCTTGGGGCTGGGTGAGTCTGGCCCCCATTTAATATCCTAAGTTCATTACCATGTGGGCATTGCACTCTCAGTTTCTGTTGAAGAAGGACATAAAGAAATAGCTGTGTGAATGTACACTTGTCTGTACCACACAGGACCAGCACAGACGGGTTGTCACCATGGTCTTTGGGGGGTCCTTTTGAGGGAACATGGGAGAGAGCTGAGTTCTTAGTACCAGACAAAGCTTGATTTATTTTGAGTTTTTAAAATACTTTTTATTTTGAAACAATCATGTATTCATAGGAAAAATAGTATGGAGAGGTACCATGTACCCTTTACCCGGTTTCTCCCAATGGGTCCATACGTCATATTGCGCTATAATACCAAAAGCAGAGAGTTGACATGGCGGTAATGTGTATAGTTCCATGCCATTTTGTCATACAGATTCATGAAACTACCACCCCACTGCCTCAAGACACAAAACTGTTTCTATCGCCACCAAGATCTCTGTTGTGCTACTCCTTTGTAGTCATGCCTGCCCGCTTCCGCCTGCTTCCGACTGACTACCATCACAACCACTAATCTGTTCTCCATCACTATAATTTGTCATTTTGAGAATGTCACATAAATGGAACCATGAGATATGTAACTGTTTAAAATTGGCTTTTGTTGTTTAACATAATACCCTTGAAATCTGTCCAGGATGTTGCTTGTATCAATAGTTCCTTTTTATTGCTGAGTTGTATTCCATGGTATGGATGTACTGTGATTTATCTAATCATTCACCTATTTATCTAATCATTCAACATTTGGGTTGTTTCCAGTGTGGGGCTATACAAGTAAAGCGGCTGCTATAAACAATCATGTACA